ATCAGCTACGTCATTAAGCAGACAATAAAGTGTTGTTATTATGCTCTTCACTTAGTCGTATTGAGCTAATAAAGAATGATGTCATTTAAATGAGTATAATGTTATGTGATATAATTATTGTCTTATGTGATGTAATAAAACAAATGTTAACTACTAATTAAGGAATATAATTGAATAATGGATAGGTTAATAGAACAGTAAACTGTAACTCAATATAATTAATGCAGCCTCAGGTAATGAATAATTGGGTTAACTGAGTGGAAATGTATCATACTTAATAGTAAAAGAGCTCAATTTTAATATTATTTTCTTGGCACTCATATCTTTAAACATTTATCTTCCTTATCGATGCTATTTTAGAACTTATAAATCAGGATTGGGGGATCAAGATTCCTGTAATCAACTCTTGCATTTTGGAAGTTATAGACCCTGGTTACAATGACATCAAGGAATTCTACGGATCATTGATGGTAAGTGGATTTTAGGGAATCTTAAACTTGCAAGGTTAGATGTTCTACAAAAGTTTCATCTCATGAACTGTATCGTCTCTCTGCCACTATTCAGCTTATATTGTTTATTTTGTGAATGTAAAACTTAAATAAATTAATACTCAAACATTTGTTTGCTGTTAAACGCAAAGCTTACGCTCATCACGAGTATTGAAACCCGGTTTTTAGAAGTGTGCGCCCTCAGACTTACCGCTGAAATAGTGTTCTCTGTAATTTCATCTCGACAATAACACAAAACTATGTTACAATTGTTTCCAGTATCTATTTTCTGCGACGTCACTGTAATGGAATTTTCAGTGCAGTAATAGAGTATCAATAAGTATTACAGAAATTTATATAGTGAATTTATAATATCGACCTTGTTTTCTTAGTACAAGATGTCCGAAAAACCTGGAACCACAGAGACTTCAACGAATTTTACAGAATTTGTTCCACATTCTGTCCTTGTAATTTGAAACAAGTTTGGATAATTCAAAACAGCAGAAATAACTCGGCTTTCTCGTGATTTGACAGCATCATAATCAGCCACATATCTGAAATTAAGAAAAGCTGCAAACTACCCATGTTTCCAGACTTTTTGGACATCTTGTATATTGTGTAGAAGCTCGTGAGTCTATGGATCACATGTATATACACATACACACATATATATATATATTTAATATGATTCAAATTTTGTGTTATAAACCAATCCCACAGTGAAAATTGATCCCAATATCTTAAATGTTAACATAGACCATTTTTTAATGGTTGTCTTAATTTGTCTAATGAAGAGAGGAAGGTTTGACTTAGATAGTTCAGAGGTTTCGTAAACATCTCTGTCTGATGTGTACAGAAACATTTATTATATATCATACTGCCAAAAAGCTATAGATTAATTTGTACGATTCATTTAACGTAAATTTAATTCCAATAGTATTATGCCATATTCTTTCGAAAACAGAAGATATTGATGAAATGTTGAAATATTCAAACTTTCCCATCACCTGTTACAAAATTTTCGAATTGAACTTTGCAATTACAAGTACTATAAAAAGTCTCATTGTAACGAAACAAATATAGAGAAACCCAATTGTTTTATTCCAGTAACGTCCAGCAGAACGGCTATATGTAACATATTATTTGCATTTTTTATCCACGGTAATGTTGAGTTTTTGTATTTGTAGTTACATAAAAGAACATTGCATATTTGGTTGCCACTCTTCCTAGCTTTCTGTTTCTGTAAAATAACTCTTAAAAAATGAAAATGAGATAAAAACAAGAACAGTTTTTTTATATATATTTAACAACGCCACGACGATAAAAGGGTTTGTATAGATTCGTGTTATAACACAAGCCTCCGCTTCAGTTAAATTTCTTTCATATGCATTTTACAGCGTAAAACAAATTGGCTACAAAGACTTTGATCTTTTTAGCTGGCAGTCCTTGTGGATTTTTCTATTTACAAGCCGAAGGAAAAACTTATAGCTTGTTTGTGAAGATTCTTTAGGTTATTAAGTTTTCTGTTAAAATGGAGAAAATACCATTGAGTATTATTTGTTTTTTCTTTTAAATAGAACCCCAATGAGACACATGTAAGTTTGCAGACTTAAATCGCTTACATCCAGGGTTTAATTCCCCGTGGAGGATAGAACGCAAATAGCTCATTGTGTAACTTTGAGAAACAATAACAAAACTCTCTCGAGAAATGGATTTTCAGTTCTGTTGTGTTAAGTTGTATCGGATTTAATTATTTGACTTTGAAACACCGTGCTTCCGGAAAACCTTCTAATGGTTGAATATAAGGAAAAGGAAGTGACATTCAGTTTCCAGCAGTGGCACATGTTATGGTATAAAAGAATACTCAGACTACAATGACTGTCATCATGGCACTTCCTTGCAATAAAAATCAAAAGTAAGTGGAAGATCTTTTTTTGAAACTCATTTCCATTTTTTAAAAAACCTTCTCACGTGAAAGACGTGATGTTGAACTTCTGGAAACTAGAGAAAAAAATGTAAAAAACATGAAGCCGTTTCACAAAGGAAATGTCAACTGCTTTCTTGGGAGTAAAGACGATATACATGGTTATTATAAATAAATTTCCATAAAATTTTGATTATGTTACTTTAAATTATTATATATGTTATAAGTACTTGTTCTAGTAGAACTAAGTTTCACCAGAGGCCCATTGAGGATCATAAGTTTTATTCATGAAAGATTGGAAATGGTACAGGGTATTCCAAAAATTGTAATAAAACGTGTGAAATATATTCTTCGTCATTCTGTATTAGCACATCAAGCCTATCTCTAAACGAGGACGCTTAAAGCATTACACATGTTTTGGATAGTATTAGTTGATCTTTGCAATACGCTTCACACTGAAACGTTTTTTAATTCTAATTTCCAGTCTCGTACTGGTCGAAAAGAGAGAAAACACTTTCCTGAATGAAAGCCAAGATTTTCATTGTGCACCTGGTGGTACTTTTTAGTAATATTATTGTTTGAAACACAAAAAGCTTTCTTTATAATAACCTGGTTTTATGCGAAACTTAAACTTTTTTGAGAAAACTCCATTTTACTGTGTCATTAACTGGTATGTAATCCTAACAGAAAAGAAAAGAATTATGATGATGATATAACAGCTAGATTTTTTGAGATATAACATAGTGGACCGGTACGTTTTAAAAAATGATTAAGGGAAATAATATCATAATCAAGCTGTTTAACATTTGTTTGTTTGTAGTTAAGCACAAAGTCAAATAATGGACTATCTGTGCTGTGCCTATCACGAGTATCGAAATCCAATTTCTAAAATTATAAGTTCGTAGACTTATCACTGTGTCACTGGGGGGCATTATCTAACGTATAACAGTCGTAAATTAGTTCATTTGCTCCAATCTTATCCAAAGTTTTTGTAAGATGCGTAGTTCTTTCTTTCTTTTACTTTGTTGTGATATTTAGACTTGATGTTTGCCTTCCCAGAAGTTCGAGATGGAGCACTTGTGATAAACATCCTACTTTATTTACAAAATATACTCAAGGGCTAATAATGGCTACAGACGGCTTGTATGGGTAATGAAGAAAAACTTAATATAAGTTTAACATAACAGCAAATGTACAACGTTTC